ATCAAACCCGATTCTCTCTCTCGTCTTTATTCCGTTGATCAATCCGAGACGCCTAAACCTGTCCTTCCTGCTTCCTGCACTGTTGGAGTGGTTACCTGGGAGATCACCGATCTCATTAACTCAGCCCTGGCTTCTGAACCTGACCCAGGTAACGGTCCTCCAAACCGAACTTATGTCCCTTCTTCTGTCAGATCTCGCCTGATACAGTGGATGCATACAGCCAAGTTTTCCGCTCATCCGGGGGTGAGCAGAACCATCGCCTTAATCTCTAGACGTTTCTGGTGGCCTACCCTGCAGAAGGATGTCAAGGAATATGTGTTGGCTTGCTCTACCTGCGCCAGAAACAAGACCTCACATCAACCACCCTCAGGTCTGTTGCATCCTCTTCCAGTTCCCACGCGTCCCTGGTCTCACATTGCTATTGACTTCGTCACTGGTCTTCCCATCTCCCGAGGTATGTCTACGATTTTTACCATCATCGACCGATTTTCAAAGTCTTGCCATTTGATCCCACGGCCTTTCAAACCGCCCAGCTCCTGGTTAAACACGTCTTTCGTCTTCATGGAATCCCCCAGGAAATTCTTTCGGACCGTGGACCCCAGTTCATTTCTCAAGTCTGGAAGGCTTTCTGTTCAGCACTCAACTGTAAGTCTTCACTCACCTCAAGTTATCATCCACAGTCTAACGGTCAAACCGAAAGAATGAACCACCAGCTCGAGTCTACTCTTCGTTGTCTAACTTCCAAAAACCCCACCGACTGGAGCCAATACCTCACATGGATTGAATACGCCCACAACTCTCTCAAGTCAGCTTCCACCGGCCAGTCACCATTTCAGGTTAGTCTTGGTTATCAACCTCCTCTTTTTCCTGCAGACGAGAGAGAGATTTCGGTTCAATCAGTCAACCAACACATCCGTCGTTGCCAACGTATCTGGAGAGACACCATCGCTACTCTCAACCGCTCCTCGGAAACAACCAAACGCTTTGCTGATTCTAGGAGACGTCCTGCCTCAGAATACACCGTTGAACAAGAGGTATGGCTCTCCACTCGGGACATTCCCCTCAAGGAGATGTCTCATAAGCTATCTCCTAGATACATTGGTCCATACAAGATTGCACAGGTGATTAATCCCTCAGCCATACACCTGCAACTTCCCCCAACTCTTCACATCCATCCCACGTTCCACGTCTCTCAGGTCAAACCTGTAGTCTCTAGTCCTTTGTGCCCTCCATCTGACTCCCCTCCACCCGCCCTGGACCGTCAGCCGGATCGTGGACTCCCGTCGGCGAGGTCGCGGTTGGCAGTACCTCGTCGATTGGGAGGGCTACGGTCCGGAGGATCGCCAGTGGGTTCCTGGCTCCTACATCCTCGACCCGTCTCTAATCGAGGAGTATGAGCGCTCCCTCCCGTCGACGTCTTCTGGACCGCCAAGAGGCGGTCGTTGAGAGGGGGGTACTGTTGGGATCTGGAGAAGTTCCACCTTTTTCCAGCAGAGTTCGCCGTGGATCCTCCTGAGCTGAGCCTTCGACACACCTGTGGCGCATCTCATCATCAAGAGGATCCCTCCAGTATATAACCTGCCTTCAGACCTTGCCTCAACGCCGCAGTGTTTATCCAGTTTGGAATCCAGTTTCCCTTGTAAGCTCTGGATGAGCTTAACCTGCCGAGCCTGCCCTCTGAGCCAAACCTGAAGACTCTTCTCTGGATTCCCATGCTGCTCTGGACTAAGAGCTGGAAACCCAAAGCCAAGGTCTGCCCTCACGCTAGAAGTAAGACGCTGAAGCGGTTATCGGACTCTGCTGAACTAAACAGTCTCTGGAACCAACAGTTCCTCTCTCTCTCACCCGGACTCCTCAAGGTATAAATCAGAAACTCTCAAACTCAAACTCATCTGCTCCCAAGCTAACTGAACTGTCATCCTCACAGACTCCAGTGAACCTGCCCCCAGGCCTGAACCAGTTCCTGTGTTTATTCCATGTGCTTGTGTTCAATAAAACTTGTTAAACTTTTCATCTGTTTTCCGTGGTGTTCTGCATACTGGGCTTTTCTGAAACCCATCATGACATCTGGTCTGAATATTTATTTCACTCACCTTTCTAACTCCGCCCAGGTGTCATTACAGCTCATCTGATCCACATGCTTCAGCCTCTATTTAACCAGCCTTCAACCAGTCATCAGTGCCAAATTATTTGAGCCAGTGGTGAGAGTTCTCTTGCGTTCCTGAGTGTTTCTGATTGCCTGATCCTGACCCCTTCTGCCTCTTGATCTCTGAGCATGCCTGTCACTGTTCTGATCCGTTTACCTGAGCTGTTTTCAGACTCTTGCCCAATTTCTGCCTGTCTGTGAACTGTACCTAGAACTGTTTCTCGACTCCATTCTGGATTTCCCTTTGGCACCTCTTCAGACCTCTGATCTCCTGGCTCTGACTACCAAGCTCATTCTCGACACCGGCTTCGGCTCCACCCTCTGGATTGTCCTGCCTTCCTTTGTCTGCTTGGTTCTGATCTCCTGCCTGTCCTCTGACCTTCGAGACATAAGCGTTTGGGACTCTCTGGTTGGCGCCCAACCAGAGAGTAGCCATAAGACCAGGTTAGTGACTCCTACATTCTTAATCATCCTCTGTCAGACAGACGTTTTCACTAACCTGTTGCTAACCTGTAGCAGAGGTTCCTGACTTAGACGACAACACTGTTCACTGCAGTTCTTTTTATAATAAACGATTCGTGAATCTGTCTGTCCGCCTTGAATACTGGGTCCTATTGTTCTGCGCCTGACCTTGTGTGAGTATTTTAGAAATGCTGATCTATTGGAATTTCACACACAAATATCTCAATTGTTCAAAAAAGAGAATATATCCTGCTAGAAACAGTTCTGTGGGCATGAATGTCTTGTTGATGCCAGAGGTCAGAGGTAAATGGCAGACGAATTTGAGCTGATAGAAAGGTAATAGAAACTCAAATAACAGATCGTAGTAACCGAGTTATGCATAAGAGCATCTCTGAATGCACGTGTCAAACCTTTAGGCAGTTTGGCTATAGCAGCAGTAGACTACACTGGGTGCAAACTCCTTAAAACAGGGCTACAATTGTCACAGGCTCATTAAAATTGGACAACAGAAGAATAGAAAAACACTGCCTTGTCTGATGAGTCTAGATTTCTGCTGCAACATTCAGATGGTAGGGTCAAAATTTGGCCTCAACAACATGAAAGCATGGATCCCTCCTGCCTTGTATTAATGATTTAGGCTTGGGGTGGTGTAATAGTGTGTGGTACAGAGTGCTCTTTGGACCCCTAAGCACTAACTGAGCATTGTGACAGCACAACAACCTACCTGAGTATTGCAGCTGACCATGTTCATCCATTTAAGAACACTGTATACCCATTATCTGATGGCTACTTTCAGCAGGATAAGGTTCCATGCAATAAAGAGTAAATTCTCTCAGATTGATTTCTTAAACATGAGAAAGTGCCTCCAAATTCACTGGGTCTTGGGGAGTGGTGGCCTAGTCGTTAGGGCATAGAGCTTGGAATCCTGAGGTTCTGAGTTCGAGGCCCACTCCCATTCTGGGACCCTGAGCAAGACCCTTAAGCCCACACTGCTCCCCAGGTTCTGCACTATGGCAGCCCACTGCTCCCCAAGGGGATGGGTTAAATGCAGAAAGTTAATTTTGTTGCTCTGTACTTGTAAGGACAGTGTAACGACAATAAAATCTGGAAAAAAATCTCAATCCAATTGTGGGATTTGTATGTGCAACAAATCTGCAGCATCTGTGTGATGCTACTGACCAAACTCTCTGAGGATGGTTTCCAGTATCTTGGTGAATGTACTGTATGACATGAATGATTAGGGCACATCTGAAAGCAAAAGGAGGTCCAACTTGGTACTAGTAAGGAATACCCGATAAAGTGGCCAGTGAGCGTTACATACACGTGCATACCCTTAAACCAATCCTCTTTGATCTGTCATTAATTTTCCTCCTGCAGCTTCATCCAAGGACATGGGCTACATTCCCATGGATCTGTAGTCAAAGGAACATTAAGCTGCTTGGATATGGTCTCATAGCTATTACCTTTAACATGCTTGTCTGATTTTCTTTGAAATCTACTGAGAAAGCTCTTTATTTTTGCTTCCTCTGGTGAATACCTTTAGTCCTATTTATAGGTCCACTAATTGATTACAAGATTGTAGACACATGTGATTCTTAGTGGACACGCATTAATTGAACATGTCTTTACTTGGTGTACCATAATTTTCGTCCAGGCCTGTTTCATGAGTTTTTTTTTTTTTTTTTTATCGTAATTTTTCTATTAAAGCATGGTTGAGAGGCAATGTCTACCTTTCATTTGTTTATTTTCATAAAACATTTATTTATTATCGCTTTTTGTCAATTTCAAGTAATTTCTGTGACAATTGTGTGTGTCTTTTTAGCCTCTGAGGAGTTATTCCCCATGGCCTGGCACCAACATACCACCAATTTGCATTCATATATACCACACAGTGTTGAGGCATCTGCTGTTTTGGTTTAGCCAAGTAGGTAGGATGACCATTCCTAGATGGCAAGATGAATTTATAAGATACCAGAGCAAAATCTTAAAAACAGACAGATGGGTTGAGATGCGATCAGATCAGCAAAATACCGGTTTCTGACCCTTTTGGTTGTTGCTTTGTTTTCTGTGCAGTCAATTACAACCATAGATTGACAAAGGAAAAAATAAAAGTAACAGCATCCACAAAGCAAAAATAGCATTGTGAAGCTAAAATTACTAACGTATCCAATTACAGGTGAATGAATGGGCTAATGATTATTCTACACACTGCTTACCAAATCATTCTCACAGAAAGCATAAATAGGCGCAGTCTGCTCCTGCTCTCTGCATTTCTGTCCCTCTCTCCCCTCCCTCTTCCCAACCCACCCTCATTTACGCTCAATCCAGTGTGGACCTTTCTCACCAGTGGCTGCTTGCATCGCAACATCTCTCTCCTCCTCTTTCTCTTTCTCCATCATACCTCCCCTCTAAAACTCTTGTCTTTTACTCTTCCTGATCTGCTTCTAATTTTTTGATGGCTGTCTAAAGCCAATGATACATGAGCCTGAGGATTGGTGAAAAGGGGAGTCCTGTGTGCCAGATCTCTAAGAAGAAAGCTGAGCATAACGTCTATATTTCCAACACAGGGAATAGGAAGCGTTCTAGATTGGGGAGCATCACTTTTGCAGGCAGGTTGCTTTATGCAGAGCAGCCAAGGACATCCCTGGACAAGAACAAATAGAGAGATGAGCCACGTGCAGGAGAGGAAGTGCTTTGTTTTCTGAGGACAGCAATCGGGAAAGGAGAGACAGACTGCAACAATCAGAAGGTGGGGAGCACTGATTAAGAGGAGGTCCAGTCACAGGGGGTTGAAAAGGAGGGTACTTGGTCTAAAGGGAGTATTTAAAAGTAAAATAGCAGTGAGGGGGGGTCTACCATGCTGCCAGATTAAAGCAGAAGAAGAGAAAGTGCTTTACTGACAGTCTGAAGAAACAACACCAAGGGGTCACCGGCTCTCCAGAGACTGGGATTACAACAGCAGCGAAGAGACGGAATACAGCACTGCCCCAGAGACTAAAGGCGGGGTGGGCTGGTTAAGAATCTTCAGGCTTTTTTTTTAAACCTGAATAACTGTATTGTTGCTTCTTAAAACAGAAGACTGAAGAAGAAAAGGAGGGTTTCTCTAGTAAGTGGCCAACATTCCCTTAAAGCACAAATCTGAAGTAGGATCCCAGCATGGCTGTCCAACTCATCCCTGAATCAGCTGTGAGTTTGCTTATGGTAAGTCTCTCTATGGGACACTGTTTCAGATAACATTAACATGCTTTTTAACATCTTAAAAATATATATATCTGCATCCTAAAGCAATGTTTTTATACACCTAAAAAACCGTTTCACTCATTAAGATGTTGGTGGCAAATGTTACAGACATATGTGGGCAAAAATACTTGTACTTGCATGGAAGATTATTGGGGAGGTGATATACTTTTATGAACACCATATGCATGTTATATGCAGATATAGATTTGTCTTTGGTTAGTTACAGATTACCTTCTCTTTAATGGTAAACCTTTTTTTGTGATGTAAATGTGTTGTATGGAGAATGTGTTTTGCAGTGTTTAATGTGGGCATTCTGCAGTCCCTGGGGGGAAGTCACACATTGCTGCTCTACCTGCTGTCCCACCTGTCAAGGCTGTCTGTTACTATGGCGATAGGCCATTCAGTCCTTGCTAGGGTGAGAAAGTGCTGTTGGGAGAAATGCAGAAGAAAAGTACATAAACATGATGGACAGGTCATTGGAGTAAAGAAGAAAAGTAAAGCATCAGAGATGCGGGCAAAAACAAAAAATCAAGAAATAGAAACAGAGAGCTCTAGAGTCAAGAAAAGTGACATGAGATGCTGCCAGCGTTTGGCTTTTCCCATCAAAATCGGTACTGCCTAATATGGTTGTCGGGTCTTTTTTGGTGCATGGAGATAAAAATGGTTCGAGTGACAGTTTGTTTCCCCTCAGAACATTTTAACTCTATATGTTGGCATCAGTATGGAAGGTGTTCTCAAACAAGTACTGTCACTGTCACAGTTGACAGCTTTTAAATGCATTCCTGTCAACCCTTTTTCACTTCAACTGTTCCAGTCGAAACCCCTTCATTCAGAGCCATTTTGTATTGCACCAGTGGCCAGTAATCATTGCTTTTCAGAGAGAACACTATTTTCAAGGCATTTATAATTTTAGCTATGTGTTTGCAAAGTCTGTGGCATTTGCTTTGTTAGTTAGAACCCATCTTAATTATTAAAGGGGGAAGGGGATAGCCATGATTAACATTGATCATGCTTCCTGCCACACTGTGCATTAATATTTCAGATAAACACATGATTACTGCACAGCAGTGATTAGTGGAGCAGCAAAGACAGATAGAATATGTCTGATAACAAAAGCAGAATTATATTTGATATTTAAACAAGTTATATATTTTGAAAATATATTTTTGCAAACAATTTTGTGGTTCTTAGTGTAACCTTTTTTATTGGTTACTAGAATTTAGGATACTTTCATACCATTGATATTATAATGTCCATTATTCTACCTTTTCTTTATTTTTGAGCTGCTCTTATAAAGAAGAGGGGAATATTTGGGATGTGTTAAAAGAATCAGGATGAAAAAGCGTACAGTTAACCCGATACTCTTGGGGAAAATATAGTCCACTAATTAACACTCAGCATGGATGCACTAATTACTAAGAAAATAAGATGTGGGGTAGATGAGCAATCTTTAAGTAAACATGTATACTTCTCAGCTTCACAGTATTGATTCTAAAAGAGTTTGACAAAAGATAATTTTTTAATTTTCAATGCAACACTATTTGGTTTAAACGTCTAAAATGATTGCAGTTCGCAGATTAAAAGTTATTTCAATGGATTATTTCAAACTTTTAGATCTATTTTATTCCACAAGAGGAAATAAAGGTAATAAGGTAAAGCCCAAAAACGCTGAAACAACATTATTTTGTCCAGTTTTGCTGTAAGACAACCAACACTGAATAAAAAAACGAATGCCTTAGAGGACAACTTTCATTTGTGATTCGCCATTCCCATGCCTCCATCTTTCTCAGGTGAATAAACAGTTTGCTTTTCTGCCCCATCAGCAGTTCTGCCTGAAACAGGCCACTCTGAAACAGAAAGCTGTGTTGGTCTCTGCTGGCATTTGATCTGAGTTGGGTTTTTTTGTTTTTTTTTTATTTTGCATCAGAACCAGGTAAAAAAACATTGTGCTCAATGTTGCTCAAAGTTGCTGGATGCTTAAATACACTGATGGCAGATTTTTTTTTGTGAAAATGCACAACTTAGCAGTCTGCAGGATACCTTATGACTGAATTGGGGTCTGCTTCAAGTTGAGTTTATACTACTTATCAAGTACAGCTCTGCATGCTCTCCAGTGGATCCTTTAGAGGAGTACTCTCTAAAGATACTATTAAAGTTGCATTAGCCAAGATTTTGGTATAACTAAAGGAGAAAATATTACATGAAGAGAAAATATTACATGAAGAAAAATGCACATCCTTTTCGACTTGTTCAAAGAGCATCAGAATAAAAACAGTAATGAATACTGACAAAAAAGCATTTAGCTAATCCATGTCTAACATGAATTATCCACACTATGAACATCCTATCAAATTTGAAACAAAGGACATCAAAATAGAAACACTCTTGCTCCTACTGTTCCATTTTGCTGAATTTTTTTTCTAATTCTATAAGTTCTTTTTTCAGTGTCTTTGTTTTCCACATGCAGGGGCATCTAATTAATATTTGCTTTGCTATCTGTTACATTTGGCCTTGCACCCAATGTTGACAGAAAACAGGGTAAACTGGAATCCTGACACACATTGGGGCTAAGTGGATAATCTCTGCTCTACATGCTGTGAGGGAACAGCTAGCAGCTTCATAATTCTTAGTTTAACAGATCCTTTAAGGTTATATGCACATATATATAGCTGCACATCTGTGAATTGCACTATGGAATGTGTGTGTCCCAGTCATAGAATCATAATGGTGCTTTAGCTGTATCTTTCCTCCATTCAGCTGATTAGAAAAAAGTGACCAAGACTTTACATTGGCTTTAATGTCGCTGCAATGTCTCCTCTTTGTTTCCCTCATTCAATTACCACTAAGCAAGCAGACCAGATGTCTCAGTGTGATCAAGCCAAAGTATTCTGCACTAATCAAATCACCTCTATGATCATTGTTTGTAAATCTGACTTGGTGTATACAAAATATTATGGTATGCATGAGGGAGAAATATTAAAAGACATTGTGAAACATTTTATGCAAGAATGCATACTGTATGTGTAAGATTATTATATTTTCCTCCAATATTTTGATTGAATCTACACTGCAATGGAGCAGCCTGTGTAAAAACAGAGGAGGGCTGAGGAGTATGGGGGAGGGTTTGCAGGATGAGATCATACTGAGATAATTGATTATTGCCCTGTAACAATGGCAAGGAGGGAGCCTCAAACAACACTTGTTTATTTTTACTTTTTGATGGAAATTGTATGTCCTACATTTGGGATACTTTGTCAGAAATAACTATCAGCTATTTGTTGTAAATGTACAATTTTATCAAACCCGTAGAGAATATTACCTCTCAAATTTAAACCCTAATTTCTCAGTAAAGATTGTTGCTATTTAAAAACGAATGCAGCCTTAATTTATGTTTAGTTTCTTGTTTAAAATGCAAAATATTCTCTCTCTCTCTCTCTCTCTCTCTCTCTCTCTCTCTCTCTCTCTCTCTCTCTCTCTCTCTCTCTATATATATATATATATATATATATATATATATATATATATATATTAGGGTGACCAAACGTCCGTATTTCCCAGGACATGTTCGTATTTCACGTCCTGTCCTGGGCGTCCCGGGTTTTTTTTAGAAAGTGAGGAAATGTCCTGTTTTTTTAAATTACCTTCATTGGACCATTAAATTTACAGACACTAGGGCACTGCGCACGACGCTGCGTGTGAAATCACCCCTGAGCCGTGCCAGTGCGGGTGCCCCGTTCTTAATCAGAATATAGATAGCGTGGCTGTCAGTACGCCAACAACATGCAAAGGCACAAATGTATGTTTACCAACGATTTACAAAAGAGTTTCCCCGCTTTCAGACCGGATCGAGACAAATGGGAGGCCTTGTGCACAGTGTGCAAAGCAGGCACATATGTCTCGGTGTCCAATCGAGGTGCAAGGAATCTCAAAAGCCACCTGGACTCCGAAAGTCAAGATATTCTATTGATATGTTTGTTCGTTTTTGGTACATTTTGAGTTATTTTTGCTACAAAAGAGGTATTTTTTGTTAATTAGCTCATTTGTTTATTTTTTCCACTAACCTACAGAACAGACATTATTTCGTTCATTGCTGAGGCTGAGTATCATCATATTGGGAGTTGAGAGTTATTGTTAACTTTTATTGTTAAGTGAGGGATGTTTAGATGAGACATTATTTCTTTCATTAGTGCTATTCATTCATTACAGGAATTGTTAAGCATTTTTAATAAATACATTTTGAGTAAAATTATCATTTGTTATTGGAGTTATTGCTGTTGACTTTTACTGAAAAGCATTTTTAATAAATCAACTGTTAATATCATGTTATTGTAGGATTACCTAGGCCTATGCATGGGAACAGAGATCCCCCGCCCCCCCGCTCCAAGGTGTCCTGGTTTTTCAAAATGAAAATATGGTCACCCTAATATATATATATATATATATATATATATATATATATATATATATATATATATATATATATATATATATATATATATATATATATATGTTTGCCACTTATAGGTGATTATTATGAAGTACAGGCACAGATAGTATTTCATTAAAGTAATTTTATTAAAATGTTACTCTTCTATATTGTGCGACTATTCCACATCTTACCATCTTCCTCTTTTTGATAATATTGTGCAATGTTTTGGAGATAGCGATGCATAGCTAAAAATCCTGTTATTGTTTGTTTTGTTTTTATAATTTTAAGTTTTTTTTCTTTTTTCAAAGCTGCAGTGTGCCTGCAGAACAGTCACGCTTGACTGATGTTGAGAGCCAGTGCTGCTGATGTCAGCTAACCAAAGCTGTTGAGTTACTGCAGGAAAAATTAAACACTCATACATTACAAAGGAAAGCCATTGATACAACATAGTAGTGGTGGTTTTTGTTGAAATTAAAAACAATCCAGTCTAGAAACTGTCCACATTGCAGCATGCAGGTTGAGTAAGGGTAAA